ATATAATAATCAGTTAGGAAATGTTTATTATTTTGTTACTATGATACACATGTACAGAAAAGTTTAAAAAATACATAGCTGAATTAAACACTATAAATCCATTCCAAAAGGTATATAGTGGAGCCTCATTGTTGGTTTAACTTGCATTTCTCTAATTTCTAATGTGATTGAATAGTTGTAAAATTTTACTGTTTATTTTATATGTTGTTTTGTGAAGTAGCTATTTTCTTATCCTTTTATGATAGATGTTTTATATTGATTTATTGAAGTTTTATATGTTTTGGAATGTACTTTTGTTTGTTACATGTATTACAGATATCTTTGTTTACTCTTTAGATTGTTCTTTTTACTCTCTTAATGATATTTCTAAATAATTGAAAAATCTTTATTTTAGAATAGTTTATTTTGTAAACCTTTTTAAATATGAGTTGTGCACTTTGACTAAACAATGGTCAGCAAGCATATGCTGTATGATTCCAATCATTTTAAATATGTTAAAATGATTGGAATCATAGGGTCAGAGGGTCATCATGTAATTAAGCTTTAAGGTCATCATATAATTAATATTTGTGAAAGTCTATGGAATGCTTGAAAAGAATATTATGCATGATATCAAGTTTTCTAGTTGTACTATTCAAAACTTTATTTTTGTTTATTTTATAAACATTTGTATTTAATTTACCACTGTTATTGTGGATATATCTATTTCTTCATTGAAATTCTGTCATTTTTTTGCTTTATTTATTCTAAAGCTATGATGCTAGTCATAGACATGCATAACATTATTATAGCACTAGAGCCCCGGTGCATGAATTTGTGCATGGATGGGGTCCCTTGGCCAGGCTGATGATTGAGGCCTATCCAGGAGTGGGTCAGCTGGCTGGGGGGAGGGACCATGGGAAGTTGGCGGGGGGAGGAGGGACCATGGGAGGTTGGCCAGCAGGGGGTGGGGGCTGCGGGAGGTTGGCCGGTTTCCCCCCCTCCCCCAATCAGGGCCGATGGGGAGGCCAGCCAGGGGGAGGGATAGTGGTTGGTTGGCTGAGGGAGAGCACTGACCACCAGGGGGCAGCCACTGCATTGAGCATTTTCCTCCTGATGGTCAGTGTGCATCATAGCGACTGGTTGCTTGGTCGTTTCAGTCATTCTGGTCATTAGGTTGTAATGGTCGCTTAGGCTTTTATATATATCGATTGGCGAAGTGAGTCTTTTTAACTGTACAGTATTCCTCTTTATTTCTGATTGCTTTCTGCAAGAGAATTGGTTAAAGTGACCTAGTTCACCATTTCTGGGATAAAATAAATGAACACTGCTGCCAATACACAGTCACCTCTCTGCATTAGCTCACTGTGAAGGGAAGGAAGCAGTCTGGTCAAAGGCACTCACGATACAGTGTGGAAGTATTGGGTGAAAACACACTATGCTTTGATAGCCTATAGAGGACCACGTAACCCACACTTAGTTGACAAGGAAGGGTCCCAGAGGGAGTGGCGTCTGAAGTGGGTTTGGGCTTGCTTAGGGAATCATGTGGCTCATCTATTGAGCATATCCAGGAAGTAGGGGAAAAAGAGGGTTCTAAATAAACCAACTTGTTTCCAATTGTGTACTATTTCAAAGTGTTTTCAAATGTTTGTGATTATAACTAGACTAGAGGCCTGGTGCATGGATTTGTGCACCGGTGTGGTCCCTTGGCCTGGCTTGTGCCCTCTCGCAATTTGAGACCCCTTGGGGGATGTTGGATAGCCAATTTCAGCCCAATCCCCGCAGGCCCGTTCCAGACAGGAGGGAGTATAATCCTGTGCATTCAGTGTCTGTTCCCTGGTGGTCAGTTTGCATCATAGCCACTGGTCTTCCAGTCATTCAGTCACTTAGGCTTTTATACGTATAAAAATAATACTGCAGTGAGGCACTTAGGTCCTTCATCTGTCTACCTTCCACACTATTTCTTTAGGACAAGTTCCTTGAAGGAAAATTTACTGCAGCAAGGGGCACGAGCTTGTTTATCCACAAAAGGGGGCATGTGAATCAATATCATAGAAGACTTTTAGAAAGAAATTACAGCAAAGCTACGTTTTGAGGGATGATTCTGATTTAGACAGGACAAAGGTGAGGGACCTCAAAGCCTGGGGCAGCTCATGTGCAGAGGAGAGAGCGGAGGGGATCATGAGTGACTGGGTGTGGATTGGCTTAGTTACAAGGTGTGGGGGTCATATTGGGAGAGTGGGCTTACATGCAAACTATGTTTATTTCTGATTTTATAAAAAAGGTTTAGTTAATAAAATAATATAAGCTCCTTTTCCCTTTTTCTTACCCTTGAAGCTCATGGAATCCATTTGTAGCATGTTCCTCAAATCATTATAATGGTTATCTGTCGTATACCAGAATGTATTTTCTTCCACCCCCCCCCCCAGGTGATTTTACATCTGGAACATATTCTGTTCCCCTCCATTGCCCACCATCATGCTAAGTAATGGCAACTTCCCTTTACTTCATTCCTATTCATCTATTTGCACGTGACCAACACGGTACTTACTAAGTCGAAGCCCAGTTTCACCACTTATTTGCTGTGTAATTTCTGATAAGTTACTTAACCTCTCTTTGCCTCAGTTTCCTCATGAAAACCTCAACAATATCCACCACAGGGTTGTCAGAGTTAAATAAAATCATGTATGCGTAAACACCTGGCACCTCTCTGCAGCACAATGGCAACGATTTTCCCTCCATTATGAGTATATCTAAATTCGTCCAGGTTGAAAATGCCTTTTGCTACGGTTTCCAGCAGTGCCAGGCAGCTTCAGAAAGGAAAATCAGAGAGGAACAGCATTATCCTGAGAGCCTTCTGTGAGAGGTGGCTACTCTCATTTAGGAGCAAAGCCCACCTGGAGAGAGCGCTCACCTTTCTTTGATTGATAGATTTGAGAATAAAATGAGGAGCCAACCTTCAGGGCTTTCTATTCACCAGCTTTTACAAATTTAAGATGCACTTCATTTTAATGTTAAAATTATATATATCTCCCTTCTCTTAGGTCACTCTTGCCTTCTTCCTGCTCAGTTCCTATCCTGCACCTTTCCCCTCCCCCACATCACAGAATAAATCCAAACTCTGGTGATTTGAGATACACCAAGATCTCGGGGTGGGGGTGAGGGGGGCTGACTAATTTTGCCCAGACTTTCTGTGGAAGCTGCACATATGCTGCCGTTTTGAGTTGCATAATTGATTCAATTTCTGATTTTAGAGGAACGCTGAACTCCTTTTGTGGGACGCTGCATACATTTCTCTAGGGCAAAAACTGCCCTACTTTTTTCTCTCTGGTATCTGTTTAGTGCTAGGCCGTTTTTCCCCTAAGAATCTAAACTACCCTCCGTGAAATAAATGAAATCACAGTTGGAAAATGGCTTACTGGACAGACTTATAACCACAAGATAAGAGCTACACCACACGCATTTTCTTGCTTTCTGTCTGCTCTGGAACAGCTTGGTGTTGGCTAAAAGGGTACGCTGGTCGCTCGGCTGAGCGTTGGCATTACCTGCATGGACAGCAGCTGCCTTGGCATCTCATTGGGAACACAAGCTGTGGGGTCTAACCCTTGCTTGCCCTTGGACCTACTGTGCAACTCTAAGTAGATGTACTTCCCTCTCTGAGTCTTACCTTCAGCAGTCCCTGGTAGACTAATGTCTGTACTCCTGGGCTAGAAAGATAGGTATGTAGCAAGCTGCAAACTCATATTGAGCCTTTTGGTTAACCAGGTGTATGTGAAGTGCCAACTGGGGAAGATGACTTTATGCCCCCTGAAAGGCCACTTAACCACAATGACAACCCGGCAATTTTAAGCTTACCACTTACTTCATACTGTCCTTGGCAACCTTATTTTTGGTTATGTTTTCAAGAATTTCTAACTGGAAAGTCTTGTTTGAGAGCAGATGTCTTTTATAAACCTGTTTGATCCAGTGTGTAGTTTGGAGACTATCTTTTCATCAGGTGCTTCTTGAAAAAACTGATTTTTTTTGTCATATTTTCTTTACTCTAAGAAGAAAATAACATTTGTTTGGTCCATACTCAGTACCACTATTTGAGCAAATCCCCCAAAGAATTCTCATACTATAAAACTGATGAACTCTACTGTTTACATCAGGGAATAATGTCAGAAGCTATTTCCAACTGATGTCTGTTCTAGCCTGAATGGATTGTGTCATTATGCTGCTAAAAGAATTTAGGCTTAAAAAATAGCATTTTACTTTTTAATAGGAAACTTAGCATAAACAGATTATTGTTCAAATTCACTCTGTTACTTACCAGTTGGATAAATTTGGTCAAGTCCCTTAACTGCTAAGCCTCGTTTATATATGAATATTTGATATTGAGATAAGAATCATACTTTTCAGGTTTGTTGTGAAGATTAAATGCTAAAATGCTATAAAGCCAGTCATAGACATTCGTCAGCCAGGTTTTGCTGTAGTGACAGTGTGTAAGAAATAATCCATGAACCTAAGTGACATACCACAACAAATATCAATGTTAGAATGAGTTGGAATTGCTTCCAGCTTGTGTGTTCTCTTCAGATCTGTTAGGTTTTTTGTGGTTTTTTTTTCAGTCAGGTACTAGAGACTGAAAAAAAAATTAAAGAATATGCCTTTCATAGTGAAAACTTGCCACGCAACTTAAAGCATCAGTTCAGAACTGGCATTGCTATCACCTCCACACAAATTTTATTGGCCAAAACAAATCACATGACCAAGCTAAATACTAGTAGGTCAGGAAGATATACTCTGCCCTAATTGGGAAAAAAGTGTATTTTTGCTGAATGGTTAGCCAAATCCCTTCAGAGTTTTTACTGTATCTCATTTTCCCTCCTTTTCTTATTTCATCTGTGTGACCATTGGTTCTTCTCCATATAGTCTACTCGATAGCATCTACTTTGCATTTCCGAAATTACATCACAACTCCCTCTCTCTCTCTTTTAATTTGAAATTCATTTAAAAGATATACTTTTCTTTGTAAATAGGTACCTTGGAAAATCCCTTACAAAAAGAACAGAAGCTTCTGATTCTCCTTAGAGCCTCAGAGGGAGTCTTTTGTGACCGTTTCAATGGAATTCATATTGATCCAGGAACAATCGGTAAGAGTAAAAATAAGTTTTTATTAAAAATGAAATATGTGTGTGTTTGTGTGATAAAGCACCATTCATATATTGGAACATCTACTAAATTCCAGTCACTGTTTTGGATAATTTATATTTATTTTATTTACCAGCTCTTCTGTAAGCAGTGCCCATTTTACAAATGATGAACAATATGTGAAAGAGGCCATGTAGCTGGACAGTGTCAGAATTTAGAATCATATCCAGATGAGCAGACACCAAACTCTAGACTGTCTGTATTATTAATTGTAAATACTATGTAATTATTGATATATTTTTATTACATTTTTTCATTTTAAAATTATTTTTAATAAATATATTGGGGTGACATTGGTTAAAAAGATTACATAGTTTCAAGTGTGCATTTCTATGACATATGATCTGTATATTGCAAGTTAAGAACCATATAATTTCACTCATATGAGGGATAGAAAACTGAAAGCAACAAATGAACAAATAAGAAAAACAAAAGCTCATATACACAGACAACAGTATGGTGGTTACCAGAAGGAATGGGAGTTGAGGGTAGGGGGAGCCAAATATAGGGTCACTGAAGATATACTTTTTAAAACTAAGAGATCTATAAATTACAAAGAAAGATTTACTATTGACAGTTTCTCCATTTGATTCTGCCACAACACCAAATCTTATTTTAAAATTACTCTACAGGAGATCATAGAAACTGTGACCGGTCTTGTATAACATGTTGTAAGAGCCACATAATAACTCAGTTTTAAGGTATAGCTATAAGAGACTTTATCAGATTTCTAGTATTTTCTCACTTACTCTGTACGTCATTACTAATTGCATAAAATATCAGTGACTCAGTAAAATGGAAACAAACATGTTAGGATAGTTTGAAGTTTGGTAACTTAGTTCCATAATGTGTAAACTTTTGATGATTGTGAATGATCAAGAAATCTACTTTTCTGGTCAATTAAATTTTTTGGATAATTCAAATTTAAGGAAATAAACTGTTAGCGTTTTTTGTTAGTTTGTTTTTGGTTGTTGTTAAAATCTTTAGTTGTTGGAAATTTCTTGAAATTACTTCATATTTCTTCTTCTGAAGAAATTGGTTACCATATTTAACCAATAGTGAAAAAGATGGAATTTTAAAATGATGATAATAATGATGATGGTATCTTCTAAAACTTTTATATACATATGATTATTATTATGAAATATTGATTCCAGGACATATCCTGAAATTCAGAGTGTTTTTTACATTTCCATTAATTCTAATTTTAGTTTTATTATCTTCTGGCTTTTCTTTGAATTAGAGTATGGAAAAAATTAAGGATATTGACATAAACAGTTGGTTAAACTTCTATTATTTGAAACTTTTGTGTTTTACAAAAGATGAAAACTTAAGGCATGTTATTTGTACCTTACTGGTGTTTGTTTCTTTTATTCATGTTTTCTGCTAAAATTTATAAGATCTTTAGAGTGCAAGATTCATGATTTGCAACAAAATTGGGTACACCAGTACAGGGGTATGTAGACAATTCTTTGGAAAATATTTGAAGAAAATATTAGAACTCCTATTCAAATAAATATGAGTATACTCACATATATGTATATTTAATTAAGTAAATATTCATGCAGTAGGAGTATATAACCATAATTTTGTTACTGCTTGGGTTCATGCCCAAAACATTTTTAGACCACTAGGATATGAGGAGTGAGCTTCATGTAATTTTAAAATGTAGTAAAACATATAAGAGAAAAGACCTGAAGGGATAAAACTGGACTGCATCAAGCAAGACCTTGGCAAGACTTTAATTTATGAGTCTTAAATTATATTTTGAAACAAAGGAGCTAGAGATCTATTCTTTGATATCTGTAATAAAGAAGTAGAGGTCTAACCACTGAAAACAAAGTTAATAGCACCAAATCTCTTTCCTTAGGAAATAATAAATTACTCTTGCCTTTTGGAAAATCTAGTGTGTAACATAAAATATCAAAACCAGTTAACTTCCAACCAAATTGTAAATGGTGTGGAGTCACTTAATGGTGGAAATCGAATTAGTTAGCCATTAGTGTGGTCTGTTTCCCAACTGTTGGATTACTAGATGTGATGTGCATGCATTTTTCTATAACTTTTGAGAGAGCGAGTTTTATGTCCATGTGAGATACATTTGACCTGCTAAAAACAGAGCACTAAAATACTCTTTTTCTGATAAGTGAACATCTTTATATGGAGTTTCTATATCACATATCTTGCCCAATTACCTCTATAATGAGTTTTACTCATGTTTCCTTAATTCATCTGAAGAATTTTGCTTATTTTATTTTCAGGAGTTTATGGGAAACTTCAGCTTCACAGTGCTTATCCTAAGAAATCCTGGACACGGCTTGGGGCTGACATTGCTTCAGGCAATGAGAGGTAAGGAATGAGAGTCAGTTACAATACATTTCTTGGTTTAGTTTGCTTCTGCTTGATGTTTTGTTATGACATAAAATTAAATTTTAGATTAATAATTATAATTCAAGGATGAATAAATGAAAAAAAAGGAGACCAGAAGGGATTATGGAAATTTCTGAAAAGTAATAGAGAAAAAATAAAACAAGTAAAAGGCAGAGGAGAACATAGTTTATTTAAGGAATGAATTTTAGTTAATACATGTTTACAGCTATCAACAAATCTTTAAAAATATCAATTCTATGAGTTAATAGATGATGTATAAGGTGGAACCATTATAGTCTGAATTGAAATGGTAGGTGATTAAGAGATAGATGAAAATAAATTAAGAGTGAGATGAAGCATATGAAGAATATTATAGAATTGAAAAGGTAGTAATATAATTAAATAATATTGGAGGAGTAAAGGATGAAATTATCACTGCCTCAAACTAAAGAGGTAATGTGGAGAACAAACCGGTGGAATTTACCTGGATGCAGAATAAAAGGTCAGGAGATAAAAATAATAAAAGACCCATACAAGTGCATTCCTATAATAATCTGACTTGTTTCCTGGATGATTTCTTAGTCCTCCATCCACCCCGTATCCAGTTATTCCTAATCATGTTACAACAGAAAAGGAAAATTCCAGTTCATTAAAAAACCTGTAGTGCAGTAAATCTCAGACTTTAAAATTGAAAAAAATAATAATAATAAAAGAGAAGGTATTAGAAATAGAAAAAAGAAATTAGAAAGTATATGCAGGTAATTGCTCTTTTTAATAAGAGCCCAGAATAACTACAACAGAAAGAATAGTGAAAACTATAACTGAAATGTGCATAGCAACCTTTGGAATAGTTACCTTTAATTTGAACAGAGCAACATCAAGAACAATGATTGCTACATATTCTCATAGTATAAGAAAAAAGAGTGAAAAAGTAAAAGAAAAACAGAAGGAGGCATGGAACTTGCTAATCATAGAATTTTTTACATCATTAAAGGTAGGAAGATAGTGGTGCAAAATCAATATATGTTTAAGGAAAAAAAGATTATGACCAAAGAATTGGACTCTATGCTTAAAAAAAAAAAAAAAAAAAAAGATACTGGTTTGCTTTGCAAGACCTGAAATAAATGGACAAAAGAGATTAATAAAGAGATTAAACTGAATATTAAATTTAAGAATAAGAATAAAATTTTAAAAAATATATAAAGGTATATATATTTTATAGATTAAAGGTAAGCATTGAAGTAAATTTAATACTACAAATATGGTTGTTAAAGTAAGGAAAATTCTAATTGTTTCTGTAATTTTGAAAAGTTAATGTATTAGTCAGGGTTTTATATATATATGTGTATATATATATTAGTTTGTTGTGTCTGTGGATGATACTGGTTATATATACATATATATATATACACACATCTATAATATATATGCAGAGATGTATTTCAATTAAATATTGAAATGAATAATTAAAAAAATGAAAGCAAAAACCAAAGAAAAAATCAAATTAAATATATACAATTGGTCAAATAAATATATTTTATATTAACAAAGATTTCAGTCTCCAATGAGACCCCAATATCAGAAAAGTTTTATACAAGATAACAATATAGAACTGTATAGAATAAGTCTCTAAGTAATATAAGGAGAAATTGACAGAAACAAAAGATATGAAATACATTTACTTACCTTTTTCAGTGTTTAATCTTTAATATAGGTTAAAAACAATATACAAAATATGAAGAAATATGAATAATATAATAAAGGCAATTTGATTTGTATGTATATGTACATATACTAGTATATCCTTAATATATATATATATATATATATATATATATATATATATATATATATATATTCTAGAGTCCCAGTGCACAAAATTAGTGCACAGGGGTGGAGGGGGTCCCATCAGTCCGGCCTGCACCCTCTAGCAATCCGGGACCCCTCAGGGGATGTCCGACTGCCAGTTTAGGGCCAATCCTGTGGGCCTAAAATGGCAGTTGAACATTCCTCTCACAATCCAGGACCGCTGGCTCCTAACCACTCACCTGCTTGCCTGCCTGATAGTCCCTAACCACTCTGCCTGCCTTCCTGATCACCCCGAACCCCTCTGCCTGCCTGCCTGATGCCCCTAACTGCTCACCTGCCTGCCTGATCGCCTAACTGCCTCTCCCTCAGCCCCTGCTGCTGCGGCTTCATCCGGAAGGATGTCTGGAATGAAGTCCGGAAGGTCATTCAGCTGACCAGTCTAATTAGCATATTATGCTTTTATTATTATAGATATAATTAAAGCCTTAATAAATTTTAATAAACAGAAATGATATAGAATATGGTTATAATAAAATAAACATAAAGATAAAAATACTATCTTAATCACAAATCTTAATTTCTTGTAAGATGGAAAAATAGGAAAAAACCCACCCATTCCTAAATAGCTTTTGTATCAAAGAAGAGATCAAAACTTTATCAATAGGATACTTGGGAAGAAGCAATATTGGGAGTGTTGCATGAGACATGGCCAAACATGCAATCACATTAAATGCTTGTATTGTTGAATAAGAAAATACAAAAATAAACAAACTAAGCTTTCATTATGAGAAACCAGAAACAAAATGAGTAATCTAATGAAATCATTTGGTGCAAGATAAAGACAGAAATTGGTGAATTAGTAAGAAATTAGTAGACTTAGATTTTTTTTTTATTTTTAAAGATACTGTTTTTGCCAAAACCGGTTTGGCTCAGTGGATAGAGCGTCGCCCTGCAGACTGAAAGGTCCCAGGTTCGATTCCGGTCAAGGGCATGTACCTGGGTTGCGGGCACATCCCCAGTAGGAGATGTGCAGGAGGCAGCTGATCGATGTTTCTCTCTCATCGATGTTTCTAACTCTCTATCTCTCTCCTTTCCTCTCTGTAAAAAATCAATAAAATATATTTAAAAAAAATAAAGATACTGTTTTAATCTATAATAACTTTAACCATACAAAATTTTGTAAAATCAGAAATGAGAATTCAAATATAACATACCAAAGAGACTAAAATTGTAATATAAAATGTGCTATCTATATGGCATCATTTTGAATTTTCAAAAGTTATATATAGAAATAAATTAATTGCCTAAAGGAGAATAAAAGTGGAAGAACCAATAATAAAGATATAAAGTTATTCAAGGTTTATTTCCAAAAATACATTTGGTTCAAATATGTATGACATGTTTTTTTCAATCATTCATCTATTACTTATTTTTTAAAATATATTTTATTGATTTTTTACAGAGAGGAAGGGAGAGAGATAGAGAGTTAGAAACATCGATGAGAGAGAAACATCGATTCAGCTGCCTCCTCACACCCCCTACTGGGGATGTGCCCGCAAACAAACAAGTACATGCCCTTGACCGGAATCGAACCTGGGACCCTTCAGTCCTCAGGCTGACACTCTGTCCACCGAGCCAAACCCGCTAGGGCACATCTACTACTTTTTATGTTGTGTAATCTATTCCACAGCACAGGAAAATATGTGAAGCTTTCCAATTAATTTTAGGAGGCAAGCATAAAATAATTTTTTAAACACCTGCTAAAGATAACTCAAAAAACCCTAACAAAATCTGAGGCAACAACAAAGTGTAAGTAAAATGCAAAAGTCTTAAACAGCAACAAATGAAACCTAGTAATTTATTAGAAGAAAATAAGATTATGACTGAGTGTGACTCATTCAAGTAAAGAGAGATGGCTCAGATTGAAATAATTAATATAATTTATCTAAACAATAGGTATAAAGTTTAAGAATATAATCATTTTGGTATAAAACAAATGCATTTTATAAAATTCAGCTTGCATTCTTAGAATAAACAGTAAATTAGGATTGCAAAGAACTTTCTTTGAATTAATGTTTTTTACTAGGGTGTTGAGCCATTAGTTGAGAATCACGGCTTTAAATACTAATACAACATAAATATTTAAAAATCTCTCTGAAACAGAAATTTTGTTTTATAGAAAAACTAACATTAAAAATCAGTGCATTACAATAATTATTAAATATTGTTATTAAATTTTTTGTCAATGTGTTGCATAAATAAAGGACAGTAGTTGGAACTGTTGAAAGAAATCCAAACTGCCATTTTTGTGTGTGTGGATTATGTACATTTGGTTTTAGAAATGTAAAGAACCACCTGAATAACTATCAGCTGAATTCAATAAGTGCACAAATCAATAGCTTTTTTAATATGTGAGCAATAAATTTTTAAATTACAATGTAAAATCCTATTTAAAATGTCAATTTAAAATACTAGAAATAAACTTAGAATTTATAGGAGCTCTAAAAGCAAAACAATAAAACACTAGTAAGAAGCATAAAAGGAGACTATAATATATGGTGATGAGTAATGTAAATAGAAAGGCTCAATATTATAAAGATGTCAAATCTGATGCAACTTTAATCACAAGCCACGTGTATACACTTGGAATCTGATTCATTAATTCTAAGCCTTTTGGAACAAAGGACACTTGAAGATAACCAAGCATAACCAGGTATATATTTATAAAAATATATACCTTTAATGACGTAATTACTTTCTGTTAGTGGCACCAGAATAGAAGACAATGCCTAGCATTTGACCCAGGGAAGTATTATTACCTAGATTTTGAATATTAGCATTTCAATTTAGTTGAAAACTTGAGCTGAAATAATTGGTCAGTGCTTTGGAAAAATATAAAATCAGGTTTTTATTGCTTCCCTTTAAAATAAATTATAGATAGATTAAAATATTAAATATAAAAAAGTGAAACCATGAATTATTTGAAGAACATTTAAGTTAATATTATGTAGCAAGCTAGGAAAGATCTGCTTAATCATAATAAGAAATACAACAACCACAAGAGCAAGAAGTAATAGATTTGACAACATTAAAATCAGTATTTTCTCATCAATTACAAAATGTAAATCCAGTGATAAACTAGAAAATATTTACAATATATCATAGTACAG